CGAAGGGCCCTTCGGCCTCCAGGGCCAACAAGGCGGATAGCTAACAGCTGCTTGGAGATAGTGATGTCAAACCCAGATGTGCATGTGGCTGGCGGGTGATCTGGATTCCTCTAGAGCTGAGCAGAGAAACCGGCAGCCCTTCAAAGCTACTCTTGAAAGGGCAGCACAGTTTAGGTTTTGGCGTAAAGGAGCCATCCGGTTGAACGTTTAGTTACATTTAATTCCTGTTTTCCTTTGCGTCTCTCGACGCAAAGCCCAATGCTGCTTACCGTATTTTTCAGAGTATTAGACGCACTTTTCTCCTCCTAAAAGAGAGTGAAAATTTGGGTGCATCTTATACACTGAACGTAGTCCTGCCCACCCGCATGCCCCCACCCTTTGGCCTCTGTCTCCCAGCAATTTGCCTCCTTGCAGCAAACAGCGTGTTTCAGCACAGCCTGATTAGCACAAGCAGCTGATTGTCGGTTGGATTGGTCTCCCAAGGATCAGCTGTTTCACGCTGCAAGGATTGCCATTCTCTATCGCCGCCTCCGCACACCCCATTTTTGGCCTCTGCGCCCCATTCCGATCCCTGCCGCCCAGAACGGGTGGAAACTGAGGCGCCAGGAGGCGGCGATAGAGAATGGCAATCCCTGCAGTCTGAAACAGCTGATCCTTGGGAGGTCGATCCAACCGCCAATCGGCTGCTTGTGCTAATCAGGCGGTACTGAAATTGAAACTGAAACACACTGTCTGCTGCAAGGAGGCAAATTTCTGGGAGGCAGAGGCAAATTTTTTTCCCCTTGTGCTAATCAGGCTCAACTCAAACATGCTGTTTACTGTTTGCTGCAAGGAGGCAAATCGCTGGGAGGCAGAGACAGATTTTTTCCCCCTTGTTTTTCTTCCCAAAAGCTAAGTGCGTCTTATACTCCGAAAAATACGTTAATTTGGGGGTCTTGGCTTTTCAGGATTATTATTGGGGAATGCAGTTGCTCTTATACACACTTAATGGGAAAACAGCGGGGAGACCGAATCTTGGATTACGGAATGATTTTTCTTCCTTTTTAAAAAAAAATATGCTAACGACTGTCAGACGTTGAAATATAACTTCTTTGGGGAATAGCAAAATCAAAACGTGCGTAAGAGTTTTGTATTTTCTTAAGCACCCAAATCGAGCTGAAGACCAATGAAAACTGAAATTGCCACTGGAATACAATCTAATTTTGACACATTAGTAGAACAGCTTTCAATCCCTATCCAGTAACTTCTGGTGTGTATATTTGATTTTTTTTTTATGTGCTTTTAAAAAAAAAATCCAGTATGCTAAGGTTCTTAACATTGTTGCTAAATATCTTTAGTAAAAAGCTGGAGTAATTTTTGTGGGAAAAGATAAGAACCAGTGAGTATCCATAGCTCCATGTTCATTCTATTTTTTTATTTCATATTTGCAAAGCATTTTAAAATTATGTTGCTTTTTAAGGAGTTCTATTTCTGGCTTTTCGTCTCAGAATCATTTTGGGGAGGAGTAGTATTTATACAAAAGTGTAAAACGGATTCGATTCAAGAGTTGAAAGCTTACCCATGCAATAAGTTGATGATTAACGGGGCCAAACATACCCTTTTGAAAGAATAAATCTCATATTCATATTGGTAGGGCAAACTTACCTTCTAAGTTACTAACTTTACTGGTTAAATTAAACAACCTCCTGCAAAAAATCCCATTTGTAAAAATGCTTTTTTTTCCCAGCTTCGGAGATGTGTTATTTCTTTCTTTCTTTTTTTTAAATATATGAAGCCGTAAGCTTTATATAATACGACGACATCACCAAACTCACTTCCGTTAGGCTGCTCCATCTATCTGTCTGTGTAACAAAACGGTTTTGAAATTTCCTTCTCCTCTTTTTGACTTTTGCTTTGAATTTAAACTTTGGTGATGCCCGCCTTTTCTTCACGGGACAAAATAATCCACCTAGCCTGGTTATTATCATGCTGCTTTTCATATTTCTGTCATCTCGTGGTTTCTGTTGGCTTTGATGTGTTAAGATACCCGGTGGGAAGTGAATCAATGATGCGGACAGTTAAAAAGATTTTTGAGCAAAATCTTCCATTTCTGGTTTTATATTTCCATCATCGAACCCATCTGGATTAATAGCCTGGCCCTAAGCCCTCTTTAGGGTTTAAGAGAGATTTATGCCAATAAACTAAATTTTTTACATCAGAGGTGTCAGACTGGTGGACTTCATCTCCCAGAATTCCCTGGCCTTCCAGGGAAGTCCACCAGTCTTCAAGTGGCCAGGTCTCAAAGCTTTCCGTCAGGGGTATCCAACCTCGGCAGCTGTTAAGACTTGCGAACTTCAGCTCCCAGAATTCCCCAGCTGCCTGGCTGGGGAATTCTGGGAGTCGAAGTCCACAGGTCTTCGAAGTGGATGCCCCTGCTTTAACATTGTCACGTGTGAGGGTCTTCTTGTTCACAGCCTCAAATTGCTTTAGTGACCTACGGCTCAAGAAGGCCTCGTGCATCTTAGTACCCCTTTCCAGATGCTTCATTTTTTCCTGGGGTTGGCAGTTCGATCCTCGGGGGACACACGCCCCCCATCCAGCTAAGCAGCTGTTCCAAACCACAGGACGGCTTTTCTTTTGTCATTCCCCCCCCACCCAAAAAACCCCAAACCAACCTCAATCATTGGTTCAATTCTCCTTTGTTAAATCTTGCATGATCTCCTGTGTGATAACATTGCTGTTTTGAATCAGGCCGAGCGTTTCGGTGCCCACCCCCTTTTTTAACATGCCTTGTTTTCCATGCTGTTGTTTACAGTGGACTAAAGAGGAGGCACACAGGGCTGTCTCGTCTGCTCCCCCAAACCTCTTTGTTCCCTTGAACACGAACCCAAAGGAGGTCCAAGAAATGCGGAACAAGGTTGGTACCAGGCGGGACACGGGTCTGGAGGTTTTGGGGAGATGCGCCGTCCGGCTCACGGCCCATCGGGGGACCCCTCCGGACAAGGGGGAGAAGAAAGTTCAGGCGGCAGATGGGTTGCCCAAGACTGACTGGCAGATGGGTTGCCCAAGACTGACTGGCGCTGGGCATGGGGGCCCAGGAAGGCGCCAGGCGCCTGGGGATTATGGTTTTGTGATCAGCACAGGCAGTCCCGGAGTTAACAACAGTTCATTTGGTGACCGAAGTTACAACAGCGCTGGAAAAAGTGGTTTGCGACGACCGTTTTCCGCACGTACATTATAACTATAAAAATAAAAACGCAAACACGCATCCTTCACATGCTATATAATTGAAATTGAAAAC